GGAGGGACCTTTCTTCCGTGTTTGCGGTCCCTCCTCTTATCTCACATGTGTGATGTCCGATGGATGTCGGGTCAGTCCAGGTCAGATCAGATCTTATCTTTGAGTCTTCCGCTGCGCCACATTGTGCCATTTGTATGTATCGAGGTGTACATTGCTTGTTGATGCTATGATGACATTGCTTTGTTCACTTCAGTCCTTTTCATCACATTGCAGATCCTTGGTCTACTGCGCATTGCTCCCCTGAGCATGCGTCAAAAGCTAGGCACTCCCATTTGAGTGAACCCTTTTTCCTGGTTCCTCCCCTCCACCGGGAAGACAAAAATACTAAAATAAGATACGCCAATGAGTACTGATCACGGTCGGAATAAAACTCCTCCTATGGCTCCTTCACCCACATTGCGCCAAAGTGTGGTGTATGTCTATGTAAATTTTGACTTTCAGCCGTTGCCAGTGGGGATAAAAAAGGTCACTCAATGCCGTGTTGCCTTGTGTCTCAATCCTGCAGGTGGGGAAGTCTGTCCTGAATGTTGAATCTTCTTATGATAACATGAGTTTCCCCGTCATTTGCAATGTTACGTTGGAGGAGCGCACAAAGGTCGTGTCTATTCACTCCACTCATCAGCTGGTCAACCATATGCAATTGCCCTTGAACTTCTGTATTTCTTCTGCCACAGGCTCCTTCTCAGGATTGGGGGGCCCAATCAGATCAATAACAGGTGCGCTCATCTACGTAGTCTACTTAATACTTATGAATTTTTCTTTTTCTGTTTTTTTGTTTTTTCCTTTTAGTAAGTGGTCTAGTTTTCATTGTTGCTGAGATCTGGGTCCAGTGTCCCGTAGATGGTTTACTGACTCCACTGTGCCCACGCTTCCCTCTGTGATAGTTTGGGAACCTGAGTCAGTGACATTGATCATTCCAAAAAGAGGAAGGATTTACCCCTGCTCTGCGCCCATTCCTCCTTTACTAGTCCCCCCATAACACACGACAACAGTGTGCTCTAAAGAAATGGTGTCGGGATATGGGGTTTGTTAATTGCAAGGAGAACTGGATGGAGTCCCTTAGGGAAGGAAGAATCCAAAGAGACTTTACCTTACAGCCTAGAACCACTTGGCTTGGGAAGTTTGATCAGACAGTTGGCGGCCAAGGCTGCCCTTTGGCCGCTAGCCACATTTCAGACCAGAGGTAGTTTCGTACTTCATCTTGTTGTACTTCACCTCTTTCTTGTTTGTCTGTACCTGCATTATCTTTACGTCTATGCTCCTTTTTTTTCCTGTGTGTTGCTGTATATTTGTAGATGCACACTTCACTTTGTGTGCTTGCTCATGGGAGTGCCTGTACAGATGGTGGCCATTGGAGGCCAGGGTTATTTGTGTCCTAGGTGACAGTCTGTGGTGACTCTTCGCATCTAGGAGAGCTTGCCAGTTTCTGCAGGCTCCCGCACTGGGACTGGGGATCTCAGGTCCAGACTGCATGTAGAGGTGGACCCGAGCACAGGACACATCCTCGGTCCACCTGCCAGGGCCATAGATCGCACTATGATTGGATGGTCCTTACCGGGCGCATTGAGGGAGAACTGCACCAGCTTCACTATATTCAGAACCTGGGTGAGGTAGTGGACACATAGTGCACATTGGATTTTGAGGCCACCAGGCTGCTGGAGAGCAGAGCTAGCTAGGGCAGTAGCAGTAGAGTGGCTTGTGAGGAGGCTTGGGCGCTATGGAGTAGGAGAGCGCTGGAGATAGGTGGTCTGTACAGAGTGCAAGTAGGGAGAGGGCTGCCGCCCATGTATTTACCTGTTGGCATTGCCATTTAGACAAAATATAAGGTGCAGGTATGCTGGAAAGTAAAGAGGAGTGTGCACATTCCATGCTACCCCTCCTCCTCTACTCTGCCTTCTTTTCATGCATGCAAGTGGGGCTCGTGCTCAACTACGTCAGTATGGTGAGCCTTGTACATGAGAGGCACAGTAAAAGGGGAGCTGAAAGAAGAAAGAAAAGAGAAACCACGAAAAAAGCCAAAGTAAGGAAAGAGAAGAAAGGACGGCGCAGGAGAAGGCAAAACAATGCTTTTAGTGCGCTTCATGCTGTCTCCTATTTTGTTCGTTTGCTTCACAAAGTGCACTCCTCTACTTGATAGATATGTAAGGTAAAGTTGTTTCAATTTTGGATCTAATCGTCTGGGTGGAGAAGGGGTTGCCGGGGTGACAGTCGATGACAATCTGATCTCAAATGGGTTTTGCCTCTTTTTCTCCCTGGTCACACACACACACACACACACACACACACACACACACACGCACCTGTCTCTTATACACATCTAGATGTGTATAAGAGACAGAATGAGAGGTGAAAGCAAATAGAAACACGAGCAAGGAGGAAAAGGAGAAAACGAAAATGGTCTCCAACGCGTACTCTGACATATGTTTTTGATCCNGAGAGAGAGAGAGAGAGAGAGAGAGAGAGAGAGAGAGAGAGAGAGAGAGAGAGAGAGAGAGTTGGTTGTGGTATTGCCATCTCTCGCCCACACAGAGATAAGACTAACTCATTTAGTTTGATGCTGGGATGTGGCGATTTATTGGAGGGCGAGGTTTTGAGTGTTATGGAGAAGAGTCTATTTTGATGACACTATTGGATCTTGAGTCTTTTTCTTCTCCTTCTCGACTTCTTCCTCTTCACCTCCTCCCCCCATTCATCGATGGTTCATAAAGCAAGAGGAGCATTCTTGTATGTGCGTGCTCCCTCCCCACATCTCATCTATGTGTATGCTGATGCTCTCTTCTGACATCGTCTTTTTAGAGTGTTGTGATTGCATCTCTTTTGGTTGGTGCATGTTTTGAGTCTTCCAGTGGGTAGTTTTGGCCTCACCCTTTGCAGGATCGACCTTGGCATTCCCGCTTGTCTGATCTCCCATCAGCATCCATCATGCGGCAGATTTTTGAGCTAGAGGCGGCTGTCTGTTTAACTTTTTTATCCCATTACATGAAGTCTTTTGATATCTTGGCATGCCATTCGGTATCTCAAACTGTTTATTGAAGCTCAATCCCTGACTTGTGTCCGTTTCAACTGCTTCGCAATCTCTATTTTTTTGCTTGATCATCAGGGCAAGTGAGGCCAGGGGACTGTGTCTTCCTCCCAATATATGCTGCTCATGGAGGTCAGCTGTTCCTTCAAGCTGAGGTGAGATAAGCCATCACAGTCTGGTCATCAAGTTTTGTCCCTCCGAATCAACCTGCACAGAATTGGTGCATTCAATCCCCTGCGGAGTAGTCTTGTCCCCCCGTTTCAAAGTTACTTCAGACATTGAGTTATTGTTACTCCGCACTCTTGGCTTTGGCTTCTCTTTGAAGACCTTAACACAATGAGGGGAATAATGACGACAGATTTCAATTTCTTGCACTTGTATTTTAACTACTGGATTTGTGTCCACTTGCAGGGATTCCTCCGTGGAGAAAAAGGTGTCCCATTGGAACCAGAACAGATAACGCAGCAGGATGGCATGCTGACATGTCCACCAGCTGACTCTCAGGCTGACAAGGCTGCATTTCATTTTTGTCTCCGAGTCAAAAAACTCGAAGCCACTCAGACGCTGAATGGCGTGAAGGTGCAGGTACTACATTCCATCCTTATCCAGTATGTCTTGAAGCTGATTCTGTCGCACTGGACTCCGGTTTGTAACCACTGCCACGTGGTATGTTTGGCGTTGTGTTATGTCAATTTTCCAGGAGCAATTGTCAACTAAACAAAAAAGTCGTCGCTCTTTCTGAGCATTGTCTTCAGTGTAGTGATTCGTCTTTCCAGACTTATGCCTCAAATTCCTCTTGGAACTACTCCAATTGAAGTTCTCATTCCACAGTGTGCGAACGCCACCAAGTACATTCTGAATTTCAATTTCTACTACCGCAGTCTTGCCCGCTCTGCACAGGACCGTTATCGAAGTCCCACCTGACAACGAACCGACAAAATCCCGGGGGGCGCAATGGGGCACGTGGGCCGAAAATTGCAAAAAATTCATAAAAAACTTAAAAAAGAATAAAATAATCATGGCACCTACAGCAAATACGAAAAGGTGTCAAAACAGCAGTCCAAGCGTAGCAAGGATAGTGAGATTATGGGTTGGGAAGGGTGTGTTGGATTCTTGGAGGTGTACGAGGACGCGTAGGCGGGTAAATATGGTCTATGGAGGAGGAGGCGACCTCCCGTGCAGGTTGTTGGACAGGGTTGACCGTCTTAACTGGCGGTGTGTAGGGTTATTATTTGAAGATCATGGGTTTGGTCTCTATTCTCACCCGTTACATACTTGGACTCGGTACTTCGACTTTGAACTTCTCTCCGGAAGACTCTGGAATAGTGCGATACGGGACCAGGTAAAGTACAAATATGAGGAAGCAAGGCATTAGGTTCCTCTTTGGGCATGCAAGCTCTTACGAGTTGACCCTCCGGACGAGTCCCGTGGTGGAAGGGATGCACTACTATGCTTGGATATGGTGGTGGAGACGGCACTGTGTTTAAGACTCTGGGAAATTGTTGCACAATGCCTTCGCTTTTGATTTTCAAAGCGCATACAATGTTTTGTTGTCTTGCTGCAAGGACTGTTTTGTCGCGGTCCGCCTTACTCTGTCTCTCTCTCTGACCTCCGATCGCTCAACGTTTCCCACTCCTCTCAGACCTTGTATTGCACAACCTCACTACTCTATCTCTCTCTCACTTTCTCTCTCCTACTCCCTGAAGACACCCATCTTCCTCTATCCTTCACCTACAGTGGTTATGGCCACCTTCATCTATCTCCAATAACCCTCTTCTTCCTTTGTGAACACTGGTCTGGTCTAAGCCGGTCATAACCACACAAGCGTTCAGCAGCGCTTCTGCAATCTCACAAATTGACAAGCGAACTGAAAAGACACTGTAGCAGCTATACATAGCAGCTTGGCTACTTGCTGCCTGCTTCGGACCGGTACCGGTCCCTGCAGCCTATCGGCCGCAATTGTCTGTTCCCGACGTCCCCGGACTTTCCTGGGATGCTGCTGCAAAATTGGACTTGGGACTGGGGACTTTTCTTGTCGGGTACCATCTTGACTTCTACTGACCTACTACGCTACATCTACCGGACCCTACCAGACTCCTAGGACCCTAGGACTGGGCCGTACTGAGACTGATAGGACTGGGCCCAAGTGAGGACCGGGACTCGGGACATGGACACAGTGTGATATCCTTTCACTCACCTCTCCCGCACACTTTTATACGTTGCGATTTGTGTACTTGTGTTGAACTTGAGTTTTGCATCACGAATGAACTTCATCATGGCTCAGAAGAAGAAGAAAGTTCCCTCAGTCTATAGGCTCCTCTATCAGTTGGACCGGTACACCACGTTCCCAAGGCACCTTGCATGTTTGTGCAATGACTCCAAGCTTCAAACAATATCTCACACCAGGCCAAGAGAACACGTTATCAGAGTTGAAAACCAGACACGAGATATTGAAACTTTGAGAATTCTTGGAAGTGAAAAGTGTTATGCAACAAGTTCATGTGTTAACAGCTCGGTGGCTATGGCCACCAACGAAGAACTCTCTCTCTCTCTCTCTCTCTCTCTCTCTCTCTCTCTCTCTCTCTCTCTCTCTCTCTCTCTCTCTCTCTCTCTCTCTCTCT